GTCTCACTGAGACGTAGAGAACACCAGTGTCTCAGTGAGACAGATAGAACACCAGGGTCTCGCTGAGACATGGGTTTCGAGTGAGAAGTTGAGTGCGAGTAACGAAGTTAGGTTAGTTCGAGGGATGCGAGCGGAGAGTTGAGACGTGGCATGTTTCGTGTTGCAGGCCTTGAGCTGTATGTGGATGATGTGAAGGTCGCCGGGACTGCTGACTCGTCCGAGCATTCGCGCACGATCACAGATCACCATACCTTCATCAGTAAGTCACCATCTCATTCACTGCTCAGCATTAATTCCTGGTGTTGATGTGGTATATGCTCACATTTCTCACTGTATTGCATTCAGAATAAATGGCTGTGTGCACCCGTGGTAAAACCATTAGTTATAACCTGATGTTATATTACTAAATTGTTTATTTATCAAATTACTTGCTCATGTTAGTCAATAAAGTACATTTTGTGACAACTGGAATATTCAGTCTTCTGGTACCCAATTTTCTATTCACCATAGAAAAATAACATTTATAACTTGTGCTTATAAATTTGCTCTTGTGTTAGTCAAAAATATTACTAAATTGATTAAGTGTTCTAATTATTGCCATAGTTATATCATTTATGTTATTTTAATAGATAAGCGTAGTATCGTTACCATTGCGTTTGCTCTGCCATGTATGATTGCAAATATGAAGAGGTCAAATATGTCTGCTGCGTTTTGTTAAGGTCGGGGCAACTCTCAGGAGACGTTCCGTGCGTACGGCAAGGGCACCTTGGATGAGGTACAACTGTGGAATGCTGGCCGTGGTATTCTCACATCCACTGGTCTCATCCTCAGAGGTAGGTGCAACAGGATTCACGTTCTGAAGAATAATTTACCTTGATACCATGAAGTGCTTTGTCTCACCATCGAATTGCTCATCTTCGGCCAGCTCTGCAAAGAACTCGACTTTTGAGCCAACCGATGAGGTGGCCAAGTAACAACACATAATACCCACAATTACTCAGTACTTACACATACTCTGCAGTTATTATAATCGATCGGTAGTTTTAATGCCCTTACTACTTTATATAGTTACAATCAGAAGATTGTAGCTTGTTGCTTAGTCTTAGCCTGGCCTTGCTGCTGATAACGATGACGTTTGATCGTGGGATGATTCCTATAGGGTACGTACCGAGCCAGCACCTTCCCATGGACGTGCTGAGGGGAAGCACGATGCCTCACCCCAACCTCACCATCAGTGTCACGGGAGATGCACGCCTCGTCACGGGCAAGAAAAACTATGCGCTGAAGGTATATGTGTTGTTGGCAGCTTCACCTGTGTAGGATTGTCATTACGTTAGACGCTTCTCCTAATATATCTATCTATCTATTCATCTATCCATCTATCTATCAATCTATCTATCTATCTGTCTATCTATCCATCCATCCATCCATCCATCCATCCCATCCATCTATCCATTCATCCATCCATCCATCCATCCATC